GATTTTTTTGGCTTAGAACAGAAACAGGTAGTTTATGACTGATGTAGAACGCCTTAAAATGAAGAACGACTTATCGAAGAGGAACGTGAAAGAGCTCCATTGCTTTAAGAGGAAAGAAAAAACAGTTGCAGGGCCTGTGTTGCAAAGCACACATTAAAAATGGTCAAAGAGACAGATGAGTCAGGAAAAGCAAGCAGAACCATCCTGATGGAACTTAGGCTAACAGCAGGGCCCACTTAAACACTGGCGCAATGGGCGAAGTAGACTTGGAAAAGCTGACGTCGAGAGAACAAACACCCCTGGGACAATTCGAAGGGGATCAACACAGACAGAGAATGGCCATGGCCTTTAGGAGGAGTGCACACAATTGTGACAGCTTCCTAATTTAAAACCCACAGTATATTTGGGGCTAAAGCTACCAGAGCTGTTTGAATCATATAATTCCCTCCCCGCCACCCCCCAAAGCCTCCGACGGACTGTACTGGCAAGGTGCCCACAGGTTGAGGCTGAGATACATAGGGGATCATCGCACTATTTCTCTACTTTTCTGTATATTGGAAATTTTTCCGTAATTAAGATTTCAAAAAGGAACGAAGCCATCAGGCTCTTTAAATGGTTATAGTCAGTAAAGTGAATAAAAATGAAGCTTCAAGATCTGTCAGAAAAGGTAGGCCTGAGATGCAGTGTGGAGGACTTTGCATGACCATCTGAACGTCTATGGGTAACGGGAAGCCACTGGAGGATTTAAGCAGGTGGCATAGGCCGGTGTGTGTGCGTATATGTGTGTACATGCGCGAAGTTCAAGTACATGTATGTCTGCTCGTAAAGGAACGGAACTGGAGTAAGTATGGCTGTAGCTGAAAGATAATGCTTGAAATCCGAATATCGCCTTAGTCCTTTGGGTGGTGCCGCGGTGACTGACCATTCCAGTTCACCCAGGACCGGGGGTTTTTCTGAGATGCAGGCCTTTCAGTCCCGGATGATTGGTTACCTTAGCGGCGGCGGCAGACAAAGCGTTCAAACTGTGAGTGAGTGCTATGTTTGAGGATGGATAAGGAAACAGGAGAACAACCAGGCAGCTGAACAGATACAGAAGGCGAGGCTCAAGAGTGTAGTTAGCACTCGGGACCAGAGAGGATGGAGACTCGGGCCAGAGGGCATGGATTTTTAGAATGACTTCTCCAGGTCAGCACAGGCCAGACCTGTCTTCAGGTACAGAGCCTTTGAAAACAAAAACCGAAGCAAAACTTATGCCATCTGCCATCGCGTACAATTTAGAATCAGTACCACAAATCTAAATCACGTTAGTACTTTTAGATATGACAATACAGGTGCGGTAATTAGTTAAGTAACTCACGAAAAGGTACACGACAAAGGCAAAGGTACTTTATCATTTAACGGTTTGATTAGTTCACAAAGAGGTTAAAGCAATCTCTTGCAGTGTTTGCAGATATTTAATTTTTATTAAATTAAGATAAATCAAACATAAAGCTGAACAAATCTTAGTAAAAAATATAAATATCAAATATAAACATAGCTAACTTCATATACTCCAGAGCAACTAATTTTACCCTACTGGCTCATCTTGCTGGTCTTAATTCAGTGACGGATCGAGCCTACTAGGCACTTGTTATGCTATGCTATGAATGAGGTTCAAGGCTAAGGGTTTCGGGGACTGGAAGGATGAGTTAGTTTTCCGGCGTGATAGCGGATGATTTTCTTCTGTCGAAGGCTGCGTCAGGCAGCCTGGAGAGCAGATCTCAAGCTGTATATCCTCTCGGGTGTGCAGCTCGGACTTGGGGGTTTATTCACTGAGGTCGTCTGGGTGCTGATTTGTGGGAGCGATGCCCTATCTGCTCACACGGCTCAACCGGGAACTCGTAAAGTCCCCGCGGCCTTTTCTTCCTTGCACATCGATCACGTCATGGCCAGAGCTCTCATTAGGCTTTATCTGCACCCTGTTGCTATCTCTGCACAAGCCACGAGTGCAGAGAAAATGCTTCACCCGGTTCTGCTCCTGATGCCACTGCCTGTTAGGACCTGCCTGGGGCGGGGGACGGGCGAGGCATCTGGGGTAGGTCCCCTGCTAGGGCGGGGAATCGGGGTGGCAGGCGGGCAGTGAGGGGGTGCAGGTAGGAGTTAAGTCATGGCTCCTGTCTCTCACCTCAGCCAAGGCTACAAAGTCCAGCTTTTCTCACCCGTGTCCCATAGAACCCTCGGGTGGATGCGCCATCATCGTTCCAAGGGGAGCCAGGTCGTGGCTAGAAGGAGATGTTGGAGGGTGGCTGCAGGGAGGGCCCTGTAACGACATGACTTCCAAGTGGCTGCGCGAGTTTTCCAAGGCGTTTTCTGGGCCTTTGAATCCAAAGGCGAGCAAATATTTTCTCACTGCATTTATGAGTAGAGTGTGGCTGTTAGGTCCCACTCCACTGAGCAGTGAGATGAGACAGGAAACCAGACTGGCACCCTATGAGTCTCTAGTCTTCTGGGCGTTGAATTGCTACCCTCTCCCTGCTGAGCATTCATGCCACTTGTGACTCCAGCTGCACTCAGAGCCACCAGCCATAATTTATTATCCAGCATCTGGTTTGAATAAACCATTCATTTATTTGCAGTTGCCAAAGGCTGTAGGCGGGAGATGCAAACAGTAGCTTTCACTCGGGAAGGCTGCATGTAATGGGACCCTTTCTCTTTTGCATCCTCAGTCTCTGAGGGGGGTCCCTAAGCACGCTCCGTGGAACATCTCTCAGCCCCCATCTTTCCTAACTGGTCCAGGGAGACCGAGACGGAGGATTCCGTCCTTAGTTCCCATCTCTCCCTACGAGAAGGAGATGAAGCAGGAAGATCAAGATTACATTTTATTTTTCGGAGAGGGGTTTTAATTGTGGACATTTCAGGTACGTTCTTGACCCCACAGTGCACAGACCTACATTGAAGTAATTCCCACCTTGTAATTTAATTAGCTGTTTCTTCCCAGCCTCTGAGCTCTTAGGGGGTGAAAATTTTGTTGCATTAACCTTTGAGTTCTCAGCATCTAGTTCAGTGTGTAGCGCATACACTCAACACGCTTTTGCGGAGTGAGTAGACACGCTCATTTTTGTATGGAGGCTCATACTTCATCACGCACACATGTTTTCCTTTGGCACTCAAAACAGCCCTGTGGGGTGGATGTTACCGTCATCTCCCTCTTCCAGATGGGGAAACCGAGGCGAGAGAGGCTTAGTGATTTTTCCGAAGATCAACCAGAGTGGGGACTAATCTATATCTTTGACACCAGAGTCTAGGCTCTTCCTGTAAACCATCTTGACTCTAAATGTTTCCCAACTTCACCCGATAAACCAGCCAGTTACTCAGCCACCTGAGAGGAACTGGGTGTGTGTGTGTGTGCGTGTGTGTGTGTGTGTGTGTGTGTGTGTGTGTGAGAGACTTTGCATGTATGGGACTCTCTGAAAGCTCGTTTGAGAGCCAGGGCTGGGAATTGAGTCTTTGCCATCGACCTCCTGTTTCCATCTGGTAGCTGCTTAAGCTTGGAATGATCACCTTTTCCTCATTAACTCTGGTTTTAAAAATAGCAAATACAGGAATTTGTATTTGGATCCATTCTGGATCTAAGATACCTGGGGTGGGGTGGGGTGACTTATTTTGTAAACAGCCCTTTGAGGCAATGGTGGCAATATTATTCTGGAGAGTGACAATGAAGAGTCATATTTTCCTTCTTCTCAAACAGCCACTCCCAGGTCACCTGCCTTTATTCTAGTAGTTATTTTGAGATGACCCAGAACTGGTAAAGCCAGAGGCATAGATGAGCTCCACATTATGAGAGGATTCCGTTCCCCGAGGAGAAGTGTCAGAGCAGGAGCCGGGTGAGGAAGAGAGGTCCAGGTGGCAAAAAAGCAGAGCCGATTGGACCAGGTTCTGTGGTACTCTGTGGGTTCCAGTCACAGACTCTATCCTCACAGGTAAAGAGGCACTCGGCACTGGAGCCGCTTCCAGGCCCTTCTCAGGCCAGGATTGCCCAAGATCAGTAGCACTGAGTGGCCAGCAGGGTAGGCAGCCATGATGATTTTGCACAAAATATTCCAGGAACTGTTGGTGTCAAAGACGTTGGACATGGACAGAAACAGAGCAACCGCGTTGAAGACGTAGAGAATGAGAAAGTAGCTGATGGCTCTGATGGCGCCCATGTGAGCTTCCATGCTGGGGTCCCCGGAGCCGGTGGCCTTGCTCTCCATGTGTAGCATGTGTCTCCTGAGAGAGATGATCAGCAGGGTGGCCGCCACGATGAACACGGTCAGAGGAATGAAGACCCCCACGTTGTAGAGAAGAGCCAGGTTGGCCACGTTGGTCTCAGAGAAGTACTTCTTCTCAGTGGAGTTGGACGAGGGGACTGGAACGGAGCTGTTCACATACACATTGAAGATGTCTACGGAGAAGGGGAAGCTGAAGCACAGGGAGAGGAACAGCGAGAGCCGCAGGAGCCAAGGCATCAGCACCATGACCTTCCTCCTCATCTGGGAGAACAAAGGGTGAGTGAAGTTTGCAATTCTAAGACAATAGAAGACGTTAAGCCAGGTGGCGAGCCAGAGGTTGGAATAGTTGAGAAACATGATGATGACTTTGAAAGGTATATACACTGCATTTTGGTTATAAGTGACCCTGAATAGTAGACTGTAAGTATTCTCCAGCATCATCCAGATCTGTAGCAAGAGCCTGGAAAAGCTCAGCATCAACAGAATGCAGTCACCAACAGGAAGCCTTCTGCGTCTGACCCACTCGGCCCCATGGATGGCCGTGATGAAGCTGTTCCCGGCAATGCCAGTGATGCACTCTATTCCGGAGACCGCCAGGGTGAAGACGATTTTAAACCTGGACATGCCTTTATCCGTGGCATCTGTGTTCACTGTTGACATTCTGTTCGGCTCAGATGTTCAGGTTTCCATGCCAAGAACTGGTACCTGCTCTGCAATCTTCTGACCTTTATTCAATGTTATTGTAATTTGTTTCTCACTTAATGGTTATTTCTAATTTTTCTTCATTTGCTTGTCACATGACTACAGGTTAAAGGCTTGAAATGCAAATGATGAGAGGATCTGGTTACTGGCTGTCTCCATTTTTCATGAAAACCCATTTGTCTTGGGCTTTGAGGAGCTCATTGCAAGGATTTCGAGACAGGTTTCTGTCACCTTCCTACCTTATTTACTTACTCTAAGTCCATATTCACCTAGCAGGACAAGAGTCCCGGGTGAGGAATCTTAGCGGCCTCGTGGGCTTTTTACTTGTCTCACATGATCTGTTACCTGCTAAATTGTCTCTGAAAAATGCATGCAGCTTCTATTATCTGCCTTCTTCTGCTTCTTTAGTGTCTTTTTTTTTTTTTAATTCTGGGAGAGTTTTTATTCCATGGTTAGGATGTTTATGAATGAGAAATTCCCATCAGCTCATATATGAACATCTTTTATTTATCATCAAGTTTCTTTCAGAAAGGCCGGTTATTATGATAGCCTCAAATAATACACAGAAAAGCTAAAATTGGATGCCATTTGGGTTAATTAGAGATAAGAAAGACTCAGTCACACTTCCACTGTTCGTGTGTATATCGCCAGTTATAATTTACTGACCTCACCATCACTGTTTGATCTCAGAATCACAGGAAGTTGCCTACGAAGGCTTCAGAGTATTCTGAACATGGTGCCGAAGTTGGGGAATGTGACAAAACACTGTAATTTAATTCTCTACTTCTGAACCCAGGCTGTGAAACGGAATGAATTCTGGCACTTTAAAAAAATATAGAGACGCCCAGGACTCATCCCTGGCCTCGTAAACCGGCATCTGAGACAGGGCTCAGGAACGCCGTGTTTTAGAGCTGAGAGGCCATACTGCCTCCCACCCAGGACTGAGGACCAGAGTCTTAGCCAGAGCTCAGCGAGTCTGGGCCAAACCTGGCCCGCGGTTGCGCTTTGTCGTGAGCTGCCCGACGCTGGGCAGCATTAGCCCACCCATGCTTGATAAATTTTTTATTGGCCAGCATTTAAATTGAGGAGATTTCACATATGCAGGAAAACAGCTTTCTTTTGCAAATGAAAAGATTTTGGGTCTGCCTCGTTGGAGTGGAATAGTGACAGCCCATTTAAAACAAGGTTTGTGTGCACTTTGCAGTTTGTTGCCGCGTCCAGTAATTCCTTTGTCTTCTTGACCCTGAGGCCCGTGCCAGTGTGCTTGCCCTGTTATAATTTTTGTAATCTAGAGGGATGATCAAATTAGATTTGCCCACCCCACATTAATTTTATTTCAAACAAAGAAGTCAGATTTATTAAATCGTCTTGTATTATTGAATCGTATTTGTATAAAAATAGCACCAGACAGAGCAATATATTGCAAAATATTAAGTAAGCGTTGTTTAGAGAAATGGAAGTTTACGTCAACACGAAGACTTGTTCAGGAACGTTCGCTTTAGCTTTATTCATCATAGTCGGAAACGGGAAACAAGATTTGTTGACAGTTCCGTATCTTCCATAACTTCTCTTACTTCTACTAGAAGAGGAGTATTTGTCAGCAGCTCTCACGTGTTCCAAAGCACCAAACTCACCTTTTTGTTTAGTTAGCCCCAGTTTAGGCAAGTTTGTAATACATCGCGTCTCCCCAGATTTCTTGCACAGTCGTTGATTCCCATGGTGCTGATGCCATTTTCTGTTGGTTTTCATTCATGCTTTTCTCCGATTTTAAGAGGGGAGAGCAGTGGGGGCTGGTGAGCGCAGTCTGCCTGCAGCCCCGGAGGCAGGAGGAGGCTGTGGAGGTCTCAGTCTTGTGGGAGGGGACAGGGCCGGCCCCTGCCTGCCCCAAGCCGACACCGCTGCACCGCGTTGGCGGAAAGCGAAAATCCATTTTCTTGTCCCGTGACCCTTCCTCATCTGGGGAGCTAGAACAGAAGCACCTTTATTTTATGGAAACTCTCATGGGGGAAACCGAACACCAAAAGTTTCACATTCTTGGGTATTAAGTTCAAAAGCTTTGGTCAGGTGTGGGATGGAACCGGTTTGGAAGGTGATGTAATTCGGGGAGCCATTTCCCTTTCACTTCTCTCTCAGGCATCACCCTGCATGCTGGACACCGTTTCTCCACGTTGGGGAGAAGCGAGAAGGACAGGCTGGAGGAGGAGAGCATCTCTGTGGAAGGGGCCCCGTGCCTGGGCCACCACTCTCAGGCTGTGTTTGACCCCAGCAATAAGGACATTCATTACCTCAGGGAGGCAGGAAGGAGAAATCCTGAGCAAACCTTGTGATGAGAGATTAAGCCTGGCATGACTGAGCAAAACACTGAAGTATACATATAGGTTTAGGGCAGTGTCGGCCAGTGGGATGAACATGAACATGTGTCTTTCCCTCAGCCATGGCGCTCGACTCCGTGCCGTCCGGTCTCCCTCCCCATCCTTCATGAGGCCCTGGGCAGGTTTCATCTTTTCTAGTCTTTTTTTGGTTATTGACACCCAACCAAATTTAGTTTCGTACTTGTTTTAAACTTGCCTTCTCTCTTTCCCCAAGCGCGGTTTGAGCTGAGACCCCATCTGCTTGGGTCGGATGGTGACAGGGTGGGTTCTCGGCCATCCATCTCTCCATCTTCGACTCTGGCTCCTCCAGGGTACTGTTGTGGAGAGAAGGGACAGATGACTGTCTCTTTATTTTACTGGCTGTTGTGGTAAGTGTACTCTCTGTGGTGGTTGCTGCTTTTCTGGCCAATGCCATCTGGCTGTTGGTGACTCTGGGAGCCAGGCTGTCTCGTGAGAAGCACCTGTGGGTTCTTGGGAAGGCTCATGGGGACTCCAGTGCGTTGCCCACAATGCCAGTCACATTCTTCTTGTTTCCCTGGCCTCATCTTTTCATAAACATGGAGCTGGGTGGGGGGCGCTGTTGGGATCCTGGCTGGTTACACTAGAACTGGTATTGCCACCGCTTAGCAAGCTTTGCAGGTAGGTGTCCAGCAGCAGTTCTTGGCAGCTCTCTTTCAGTCTGTCCTTTTCAACCCCGTCTGCCTACCAGAATTGCCTGAGTTACCTGCAGGGCTTTAAAAAAAATCCATACCCATGTCCCACCTTCAAAGATTCTGAGTAATTTTTTCTGGTGAAAAGCTAGGCAGCGGCATATCCAGAGCTGCCCATTGCACTTCTGAGAGGGAGCGGGGGAGGCTGGAGAACCACCGCCCTTTGGGGTGCTTACCTGCTCGGCGTGTCGTGTGGGCGGTAGGGTTCATTCTGGGGCAACAGGAGCAATGCCGCTCTGCACCCTGTGGAAGTGACTGAGAGACTTTCTGGAGACGGCTAAGAGGACATGTTTTTCTCTCAGGTGAAGGGAGACCGGATCCGGAAGTGGAATCACAGAAAATAATTAACATTTTTCCAAACTGAGATTTGGGCTCGTGAGAACCATTGCCACGATATAGTCTCAGGAAAAAAAAAAAAAATTTCTCGTATCTCTATGAAAAGTAGGAGAAAGAAGACGGCCCTGGAGGTCACATGCTCAACTTTGTAAACTGAGGACCATTTCCATGTGTTTATTCCTCAAGGACGTAATCAGGAAGACAGCCTACATGCCATTGTGAAACAAGCCATTAAAACAACAGAGACCGGGGATGCGGAAAAGATGTGTGATCAAAACCCAGTGAGCTGCAAAGAGAACCCAGATGTCAACGAGGTTCATTCGTCCTGGTGGTTTATAAAATAAACAGTTATGTGTTTAAGTGAAAAATCTACCTGGGACATCAGATTCTTCACAGATAGCAAGTCCTAAAAGAGAGTGTATTGAATGGAGTGGAAATCGTGTCCTGAAAAGTTATAAGCACATGCAAATGTCAGCGTGACCAGAAATACGGTCGCTCAATGTACTGGAAATATGGCTGGGGAATTAAAGATAAACTGTGTGAAAAAAGATTTAAACATTGTGACATTCGCTATTGCAGCCAATGAGGGTACATATTTAGTAATACTCAGATGTAAGCTCTATTTATTCACTGTGAAGTTGAGAATTTTTATATGAATGAAAGTATTTTAGACAGTGTGCCCACGACAGGCACACATCAGGAAGTAATTAAGAAGTTAATTTCTGTATTGAGGAAACTTTTGAATGACAATGTAGATGATGTTCCTGGGATAGATGGTGCTAATATTGGACTTGCAGTAAAACTTAGGTTCCTGTGGTCAGGTCCCTAAGGACACAGACTCTGCATCTGCTCATCTGCGTTATTCTGCAGGAATTGCTTTCTGCTAGATGTTAAAAATGGAGCACGTCATGGACACAGCTCATCACCTGTAGGCTGGCTCTCCTCCTGGGGCTTCGGCCATGGAATGTTCTAGATGCTGTCTGATGAAGTGGACACATCACAGCAGCCTGCCCACTGCACATAGGTCAGGGGACTTCGTCACAGCCGAATGCCAAGGAGAGTTGTTGAACTGTTGAAGCGCGTTCATTCTCATCACCTGAGGAAAAAAATTCTTTGCTCATACCAAGTAGCAAAGGTTGTTCTCACATAATTGGCCCTTTGGGTGGGCCAGTCCTTGACTATTTCCCACAAAGCCATCCACGAGTAGTTATAAAACATATGGAGAATGTCGTTTAGCATTGAGTTATTTGGGCCTCTTTTCTGTGTTAGAATTAGTTTCTAGAAATGTAACCGATGGCCCGAACCCTGTGATGGAAACTGTGTGACACTGAAAACTGGTTTCCCAGAGTCGCTTATTGATTTCAGCTCAGTGCTCCTTCGCTGGTTTTTGTCTATAGCATGAGAGATGACCGGCAGTGTGATGCAGGACTGTGAGCATTTAGCGCAGTGACACCAGACGCCAAACTCCCGCAAATATCTTAACAGTCGTGCAAAGATTTTTGCAAACTGTGTTTGAAAGTGTCTATGTTTTTGAACAGCT